AGGTGTATATATAGCGTATATACAGCTACGTGTATAGATCAATTTATCGAACATGTCTTTATAAATGTCCTTGTACAGATTTCAATAGTAATATCAGTGCTGCCGGCCTTTGGGGATCTGTTTGAGTTTTAGCGCGCTGTAAAGTGATGTGGACCAGCCTGGAATGGACAGCTTGGGAGCATGCTCCCCCTGATTTTCTTTTATTCTATTAAGCAAAATGTGATGGTGAATTTGACCCGGAACCGGACTGTCAACCAATCACATTGCGTTGTTGCTGCTAATCTGATCAAGCACAGCGGTATGTCTGCGGGATTACAACGCTAGAAACCGGGTTTCGATACCCGTGGTGGGCAGAGCACAGATAGCCCATTGTGTAGCTTTGTGCTTAATTTCAAAAACAAACAAAAACAAAACAAACTTACCGTTATGAACTATTCGGAAAAAACAGTACAAATTGTAAATAGTTTGATAAATCTGGGTTGCATCGTAGTTTACGCTACGCTAGGGATGATTTATATCGCAAAGTGTAGTGCGATACCAGACAATTTATGCTCTGAAGTATGCAAATAAACCTAATGGAAAGATAGATGAATCTAGAAAGAATCTGCATTAATAATCGAGCATTTCACTTTCTTGCTAAAGAGGTACTAAAGTTTGTGGTTCACGTATATCATTGGATGAATGTGAATTACTTGGGTCATCATCAAGAGGCCGTACTTTTCCCATTTTCCATCTTTTTTTATTGAAACGCCAACCATGTCTATTCTGTTTTCTTACTTTATTTAGATATTTTCCTTTCGCCATCTCCTTGTCATATGCATGTAATAACCTTACTAAAAACAACGAATAGCCGCCTCTGATAGCACAAAAATTTATATACCAACCCAATTATATGAGCTTTGATCCTTACTGGTAAATCAGCAAATGACCTCAAGGCATTTGGCTAGTCTATAATCTCCCACTGGAAGTACAAAGCTCATTATTCTTTGACTAATGCAGTAAATGATACGGTCCAGTGGTCACCATGATCTTGACCAGTGAGATAATAAACGTCACTACAAAGAAATTGTTCCTTTCTGACATCTAATGATATTGATTGATAATATTCTTGTGTTTAGAAAAACCTTAACTTAGGCCTTTGCTCAGTGATTCTATTACAAGACTTGGCTGGAGTGCCTTAAGACAACACTAGGCTTAGTTGTTCTACAGCAAGACATAACTGTAGTGCCTAAATCTAGTGCTTGGCTCAATTAGTCTACCACAAAACTTGACTGAAATCCCGTAAGATAGCGTTTGGTTCAGTAAATCTACAACAAAACTTGACTCGAGTGTCTTAAGATGATTCTTCGCTCAGTCTACAACAAAACTTGACTCGAGTGTCTTAAGATGACTCTTCGCTCAGTCTACATCAATGTCTGACTAGGGTGTTTAAGATAGCTTGGTAACTAATCATATTGGAAAACTGATCTTCATTGCAAGATGACTAAAATTTTAGGCGTTGGTGAAAACAGGAAGTTAAGAACTTTAAAATATAAACATTGCCATTTAAAGTAATAGTTATTACGACGTTTCGAACAAACGCTTTTTTGTCCAGCAGTCGCATTGCATCTTTTAAAACAGTGAGATTATCGGAAGGTCGTTTATTTTCTTTTATCTGGTATTTCAGCTTTTTTTTACAAGTTTACAATAACAGGTATCAGTGTATTTCACAAAACTTGTTTCTACCCTGCAACTTAAATCTTTAAATAGTAACAGGCAATTTCATAAAAATACTCTGATAAAAAATAACTACCAAAAAGACTTGTATGCTTTGGCCCAGCTCTGTTTTTGATAATATAAGATTCGTTATCTTTTCGTCTCTTGAAAAAAGTATAACTGTAGAAAAAACGTCGTAACTTCCCACCCAGTCTAACTGTATTAAAACAATCACTCTTCTTTTTTCATTTATTGTTGGCTGAACAGTGAAGTGGGTGCTGGAGAACAATTATTGAATAAAATAATGATTTTTATTTTACTTTATCTATCAACGTTTATTCTTATAAAAACAGATCCTTGACTTTTAATATTGGAAAATGTATCATTGTGTTATTTATTTTGCAGTTGTCATGTTCAGAATCTGAACCGTGATTGCAATAAGATTAATGTAAAATAAATGTTTTGTGGATTATTTGTAAAATCATCGATCTAATTCAGAAGCTTATAGAAATGTCAAGGATTTGTTTAATTTTTATATGAAATGACTGGAATTTTCTTTTTAAGTAACAAATTATAATTTTTAATCACAGTAACAGAACTTCGAGTCATGTTTAGAGTAATAATGACTAAACTTTTTTTGACAAATTGCAGTACTTCTCATGTGTAAGAACTTGAAAACAAAATGATATACAATTATGATGTAGCAAGATTATTCAGAGCTTTACAGATTAGCTTCTGATGCATTCGACTGAGCTTGACATTTGATGAGCATTTTAAACATAAACTCTTACTGTGAACAGACATTCCTGATGGATCAGCAGGTCTGGAATAATGTCACCAAACAGATGGAAGAAAGCAGTGCAGAGAAAAGAATGAAGAAGTCCACAATAAGTGATACAAAAACAGTTAATGGTGGAATGAAATCGAAGCCTTCAATGTCAGAGAAAGACGGGGACTCTACGCACTTAGAAAGAAACAATTACACACGCACTGAACAAACAAAAACACTATGCACAAACGATGACAACTCTGATTTGGCTGAACGTGAAAAATTCTCTTGTCTTAAGATAAACGTAAGTAGCTATTCAGATACATACACTCCAGAGACAGAGTTCCACATATGTTATAATAAACAACCAAAATCACCGCCATCTACAGAACAACTGGGAAACGAAACTTTTCCCATTCAAAGAGATGGAAGTATTATTGTAAAACTTCCTAACAAGACATTGGTTACCGATGGAATACTCGCAGATTCCGTCCAGCTCAATGGAAAGGTGCCATGTGATGTTACGCTAGAGAAAATCGATAAGGTAAGTATGGCTCTGTTTGAAAAAGAAAGAACCCTACAAGCTTTTAGCAAAGTGCCGGAAAATCCCAAAGTTGCTCAGAAAGTCGAAATTAATATACAAGAAGATGGCTTAAAAAACGATGGAATAAGCTCTAAAAATGAAAATAAACAAACAATCGTATGCGAAACACTCGACCACAACTATGGAAAGGACCAAATTACACAGCAATGGCAACTGCTTCGTGGAAATGATCTGTCACCGCCAAAACTATTTTCAGATCAGAAAAAAGGAAACGGCAGGACTATTTCAGCTCAACAACTTGCTTCAGAAATTATTACACCCGTCGTTTCACAAACAGAACTCACATTAAGTGGATCTAACAGCGTATCCAATATAGAAATGGGTCAGGAGCCTAATGATGCATCGGTAGGTTTTAAAGAACTCAATGATTATCTCATAGATTCACATATAATAAAAGACTCGAGTATCCAACCACAAAATCAAATTATGCCTTTTGTTGTTAAACACGAACAAAACTTAGACAAAAAAATTACTAAAAATGAACCTATTCTATTAAAAACTAAATCAACGAACGACGAACCATCACTTACCGAGAAACATACTTGCGTAACAGAAACAAAATCCAAAAAAGATGAGTTACAAAATCAACTAAAACAATATGTTCCTACTGAGCAACAACAAACAATAGTAATGAAAGAATTTGCTCGAATTAAAACAAAGCAGAATAAAGTACAATCAACAGTATTACTGAAAGCTGCTCCAAATGATGTAAAGGAAGAAAATGAACAATCAACAATACTAATGAAAGTTACTTCTGATAAAATAAGAAAGGAAAACGAACAACAAACAAAAGAAGTAATGAACGTTATACCAGATGAAACAAAGCAAGAGGAAGGACAACAACAACCAGTATTAATGTATATTGCTCCAAGTGCAATTAAACAAGAAAAAGAACAATCGAATGTAGTAATGAAAGCTATTCCAAATGAACAACAACGACCATTAGTAATAAAACTTACTTCAGATAGAACGAAGCCAGAAAAAGAGCAACAACCAACAGTTGTAATGAAAAAAGTTATCTCGGTTGAAACAAAGCAAGAAATACAACAAAAAACAACAGAATTGATAAACGTTACTCTAGATGAAGCAAATCAAAAGAAAGAGCAACAACCAGTAGTATTCATGAAAGCTTCTTCAAATAAAATAAATGAAAAGAAAGAACAACCGACAGCAGTAATAAAAGAAACTGCCTCAGATGAAACAAAGCAAGAAAAGGAACAGCAACCAACAGTACTAATGAAAGTTACGCCAGATGAAATAAACCTAGACTACAAACAACCGACACTAGTAATGAAAGCTACATCAGATGAAAGGAAGGAAGAAAAAGAACAATCAACAGTAATAACGAAAGACGTCGTCAAAGTTGAAGCAAAGAAAGAACAGGAAACGCAAGTAGCAACAATGATAGAAGCTACTCTAGACGAAACAAATCAAGAAAAAGAACAAGGACCAACAATAGAAATAAAAGTTGCCTCGCTTGAAACAAAGCAAGAAGTACAACAACCAACTCTAGAAATAACACTTGTTTCAGATGAAACAACGCAAGAAAAAGAAAAATCGACAGTAGTATTGAAAATTTCTTCAAATGAAACATATCATAGTGAAGAGCAACAACCAAAAGTAGTAATGAATGCTACTCCAGACGAAAAAAAGCAAGAAAAAGAACAACCAACAGTAGTAATGAATGTTACTCAAAACCAAATACAGGAAGAAAACGAACATCAACCAACAGTAGTAATGAATGTTACTCAAAACCAAATACAGGAAGAAAACGAACATCAACCAACAGTAGTAATGAATGTTACTCAAAACCAAATACAGGAAGAAAAAGAACCTCAACCAACAGTAGTAATGAATGTTACTCTTGCCGAAGTAAAGCAAGAAAAAGAGCAACAACTAGCTGTAGTAATGAATGTTACTCCAGACGAAATAAAGCAAGAAAAAGAGCGACAACCAGCTGTTGTAATGAATGACAAAACTGACACAAAGGAAGAACAAGAAAAACAAGTTGCGACAGTGATAGAAGCTACTCCAGATGAAACAAAGCAAGAAAAAGAACAACCGACACTAGTAACGTTAGCTATTCCAAACAAAGCAAAGCAAGAAACTGAACAATCGACCATATTAATGGATGCTACTCCAGACGAAATAAAGCAAGAAAAAGAGCAACAACCAACTGTAGTAATGAATGTTACTCAAAACGAAATAAAGCAAGAAAAAGAACAACAACCAGCAGTAGTAATGAATGTTACTCAAAACCAAATACAGGAAGAAAAAGAGCGACAACCAACTGTAGTAATGAATGTTACTCCTGACGAAATAAAGCAAGAAAAAGAACAACAACCAACAGTAGTAATGAATGTTACTCAAAACCAAATACAGGAAGAAAAAGAACCTCAACCAACACCAGTAATAAATGTTCTTCCAGACGAAATAAAGCAAGAAAAAGAGCGACAACCAGCTGTTGTAATGAATGTTACTCAAGACGAACTAAAGCAAGAAAAAGAGCAACAACTAGTTGTAGTAATGAATGTTACTCAAGAAGAAATAAAGCAAGAAAAAGAGCGACAACCAGCTGTTGTAATGAATGACGTTGCCAAAGCTGAAACAAAGGAAGAACAAGAAAAACAAGTTGCGACAGCGATAGAAGCTACTCCAGATGGAACAAAGCAAGAAAAAGAACAACCGACAGTAGTAACGGAAGTTATTCCAAACAAACCAAATGCAAGAAATTGAACAATCGACCATATTAATGAATGCTCCACCAGACGAAATAAAGCAAGAAAAAGAACAACCGACAGTAATAACGGAATCTATTTCAAACAAAGCAGAGCAAGAAATTGAACAATCGACCATATTAATGAATGCTACTCCAGACGAAATAAAGCAAGAAAAAGAACAACCGACAGTAATAACGGAATCTATTTCAAACAAAGCAGAGCAAGAAATTGAACAATCGACC